AAAACCTGTAATAAATAAACAAAATAAAACAAATTAAGTTTGCTACCTTACTGATAAAAGTGTCTTTGAAAAAAGTGTCTGGCTCTTAGGTCTGTAATTTTAATAGCCCCTATAATAGGCTGGTTAAATTCAAAGGATTAGCAAAATGAGTCTGTTGGATGGCTTTTTCATAACTGTGTTTTAATTAGGTTTAAATGATCCTAAAGCCTAAGTGCAGTCAAAATTCTCCTCTGTCGCCACCCCTATCCCTGCTGCAGTGATTTGTCAGGTGCAAAAGCGTTTAATACAGCTTGGGGGCTTTATTCATAGCAACTGTAGTACGGCTTCTATAAATGGAGAAGCTGGGTGGAAGGGCAGGCCTAGTGGGAGCCCGTGACAGCCCCTTAGTTGCATTAACCACCTCTGCACTGAAAAATTATGGCAAAGGAGAATTTCAAAAAGAAGCATCAGCACAAAGGGCCACATACTACTGACCAGGGGTGTATTTACCACAAGGCATTTGCCTAGGGCGGCATTTCTCGGGGGGGGGGGGCAGCACTGCCCCCAGAAGAAGGAACAGAAGAAGGGACACACGCAGCATGATGACCTGGTGGGTTCCAAGAGAGGCTGCGGGTTTCATGACGGTGTATGCACAGCCCAACTCTCATTCCCTGGGATGTTCGGAGCTATTAAGGTGAGTGTCTTCCTTTCGCCATGGGGGATGGTTGCTGGTGTATGGGGGGGCAGTGGTAGTAAAAGGCTCTCTTGGGTGGGAGGCAGGGGTGTTTTTGGTCAATGTCAGGCTCTCTCTGCAGGGGGCGCCAATTTTTTTGTTGCCTAGGGCAGCACAAATCCTGAATATACCACTGCTACTGACTGTAAGTTATGTCTCTTGTGCTGATGTTTTTGTTTTTTTTTTTTGGCTACACATAAGCTTTAAAGTAGGGGTAGGCAACCTTGGAGTGGTGGAGATCTACGTGAACAACATGGGACAAGTCAAAAATCTCCGGGCACAGAATCCTGTTTTTAGGGAGATAATCTAACAAGGCCATTAAAAAGTAAGGCAGTTTTGAAGAAACACATTGGCCAGTGAATTCTAACAGTTGGCTGGCTAAGTTCTGGCAAGGCTGGGTTCTGGTTGGCTGGCTGAGCTGAGTTCTGCTTGGCAGAGCAGTATACCCTGTGGCTAGTAAAGTGCAGTGATGAGGTATAAGTAAAGCAGATTTCAGAGGTCAGGAGTAACTAATGATCAGAGTTCACAGGTCAAGAGTAGGTAAAGCAGAGTTCATAGGTCAAGAGTAACTAACGTTCAGAGTCCAGAGATCCGGAGTAAGCAAGTGGTCATTCAGAACACAGGCCTTCGGATCCATGCACTTGCTCCTGCCCTCATGTCAGATTTTGATATGCAATTATGTGCGTGTAGCCGCTGTATGAGTATCCAGTTCTATGAGCTGTAGGCAAGCTCCAAGATGGATGCAGACGCAGCAAAATGCAGCTTTGAACAGAGGACAGGAAGCAACATCCATCTGAATGAGCCCTAAGCGCCAATTCACACTAGGTTATACGGTTGTCAATGTCATAGTTCACATCAGTGCTTTCCGGTTGGAGAAAAAAAAAAGTAGAACAGGCTGCATTTTTTCTGCACAGAACTGTACTGGAATGCAGTAAAACGCATAAAAAATGCATCAGAAGGCACTGGACGCACCAAATAATGCACTAGAATGCACATGTCTCTATTTAAATTGAAGAAAAAGAAAGGAGGAAAAGATGAACTCGAATGCATTAAGAATGCATGAAAAACGCATCAGAACATGCCAAAAACATGCATGCAGAAACGCATCCAGAATGCATCTGGACTGCATTTCTATAGTGTGAACCAGCCCTAAAGCAAAGGTCATGGGTCAGAAGTACATAATGCAGAGTTCAGAGAGTGGCTGCTAGCATGTATGACCCAGTGCAAACCTGACATGTCCTTAAAGGAGTTATTTATTTTCTGTTTTATATTTATTTTTAAAATTTTAAGCACTATTTTTGCAGATTGTATATGGAATAGTGGTGTTTTATCTCTGCTCTATTAACGCCGGTATTAGGAGCTTTATTTCCAATCACCATTGTTACCTTTTAACCTATTTGGGGCTCTATTTAAATGGATGCTTGTCACAGGGCTCCTTACCCTGATGAAGTCACGTGACAAGTGACATAACGCTTGAGTGGAGCCTAGTGATGTCACTATTGCGCAAACCTGGAAGTGTGGTGAGAGGAACCAATTTTGTCATTGGAATTACATGCCTTCACTGTTTTGCACTTTGTGGGTGGATTTTAACTTCTTGCCAACCAGCCACTGTAGAAATACAGTGGCAGGTCGGCACGGCTGGGCAAAACCACGTTTTAAAACGCGCGTTTGCAAAACAGGTAGAGGGCACGCACGTGGCGTGTGCCCGCCCTACCCGTCCCGCCGATCGCGGCCGCGGGTGTCAGTCGCCGGGTCACGGCCGGTCATTACCTACCGTGTCCCGGCGATTAGCGGCAATCACTGGCAGAGAGCAGGGCTGCAGTAGCTCTGCTTTCTGTCAGTCCCCTGTCAGCTCCTGACATGCTGATCCGGAGAGAAGAGTTTATCTCTTCTGATCAGTGTTTCCCTGTGCAGTACACACCCCTGCCCCCTAGTAAAACACTACCCTCACACAGTTAACCCTTTCAGTAAATAAAAAAGTTAACCCCTTCCTCCCCAGTACTATTAGTACAGTGTCAGTGTTTTTTTTTTTTTGCACTGATCACTGTATTGGTGTCACTGGGGATGTCAGTGACCCCAAGTCAGTTCCCCCCCAGTGTCAGAATGTCCGCCACAGTCCCGCAGTCCCGCCATAAGTAGCTGATCGCCGCCATAAGTCACTGATTGTCGCCATAAGTCGCTGAACGCCGCCATTATTAGTATAAAAAAAATTAAAAATCCGAGTATCTTTCCATTTGTAAATGCTATAACTTTCACGTAAACCAATTAAATTACATGTATTTGGGGGTTTTTTTTTTTTAGCAAAAAGACATGTCGCAGAATACATTTTGGCAAAACTTTATGACTAAATTTGATTTTTACATTTTTTTTTTTACTGGACATGTTTTATAGCAAAAAGTCCAAAATATTGTTTTTTTTCCTCAAAATTGTCAGACTTTTTTTTTATAGCGCAAAAATAAAAAACACACAGGCGATCAAATACCGCCAAAAGAAAGCTCGATTTGTGAGGAAAAAAAAGATGTAAATTTCATTTATGTACCGTATTGCATGACCGCGCAATTGTCCATTAAACTAGTGCAGCGCTGTTTAGCAAAAAAATGTTGTAAATTGCAGTATCTATACCATAGTTTGTAGACGCTATACCTTTCACACAAAGCAATCAATATACACTTATTGGGATTTTTTTTTACCAAAAACGTAGCAGAATACATTTTGGCCTAAATTTATAACCAACTTTTAGTTTACTATATATTTATTTATAGCTGAAAGTAAAAAATAAAATTTTTCTTCAAAATTTTTGGTCTTTTTTTGTTTATAGCATGAAAAATAAAAAGCGCACAGGTGATCAAATACCACCGAAAGAAAGCTCTATTTCTGTGAAAAAAAGGACGTAAATTTCATTTGGGTGCAGCATTGCATGACCGCGCAATTATCAGTTGAATTAGTGCAGCGCCGAGTAGCAAAAAGAGGCCTGGTCATTAAGGGGGGTAAATCCTCAGGAGGGCAAGTGGTTAATAGCTTAATAAAGGAAATCTTCACCCCCCAGGTCAGATAGGGGAAGAAGCACTCTGGTGGGAAACCATATTAGCCACCACTCAGGACTGTCTTATTTTCTGAAAGTGACAGGCACTGGATCCCCTGCTCAGGGATTCCTTCAGGCAGCCAGATAGAGGAGCTTCTGGGGTGGTACTACAGGAGATACTGGCTAGCTCTCCACGAAAAGGATTTTTTGTGTAAAGACTTGTACATAGTTCAGGAAGTTGTTTTAAGTTTCTCAGTTCCGTTGGGCATCCCGTACCCCCTTACCCCATCCAAGTTCTAATATCCCCTAACAAAACATCAAAAACAAGCTCAAGGATTAATTACTGACGTCTGAATGTAAGTCTGTAGAAATGTGTGTTGCAAATCTTCAGCAACTCCTAAGGAGGTAGTGCTACACCATTATATTCTGGACACAGCTTGTATACATCTTTCTTACATAGCTTGGTCAGTATAAGTGTTGGGGGGGAGGGGGCATTTTTAAGGCTAGTTAGGTTTATTCTGGAATTCTACTATACAGTACTTTATTTGAAAATGAAAAACAGCTGGATCAACAGGGCATAAAACTGTGTTGGATGACTCTGCAAAGCAAAGACTGCTGTGTCAATGCTAGACACAGACCACATCATTTATGTAATTTTTAAATTTTGTCTTTAGTTTAACTTTGATAATCAAATCAACTTCTAGGCTATAATAAAAAAAAAAAAAGTAATCAACAACAGCAACATTTCATTCTTGACAAAAATATCGAATCTGTTACCACATGATGAGACACAATGCATTATCAGCAAAAGTAAAGGCCATGTGACACTAGCAAATTTGCAGCAGCTACAAATGTTTCTGCTGTATCTCTGGTGATTTGTAGCCAGCTATAGAGTTGCTGCTGTGGTTGATTACAATGTTTTATCTATGCAGCTACACATTACTGGTGTGCCATGATCATTAGCAAGTGTATTGGCTAACATGAGTAGCTACTGAAGCTGACTGGTGGCTCTGTCAATAGCTCCAAACACTGCAGAAAGTCACTCACTCAATGAGCTACAAATCACCTGAAATTTCAGCAAAAAAATCTTTTATTGACTGCAATTTATTTTTGTTACAACTCAAAAAACAGGCTACACACCAATGACATGTTTAAAATCCAATAGGTTTATTGAGCAAGCAAATAACTTCCAGCACACACTGCAAGCCTTCTACCATTAGTCACACCACCAATGCATTTTCAATAATTTCCAATAATCAGAATGTGAGATTACCGTATTTTTCGCACCATAAGACGTACCTAGATTTTAGAGGAGGAAAACAAGAAAAAAAAATTCTGAACCAATGGACTGCAGACATAGTACAGGAGATGACCAGAGGCTGCGGACATAGTATAGGAGATGGCGAGACTGCTGACATAGTACAGGAGATGACCAGAGACTGCAGACACAGTACAGGAGATGACCAGAGACTGCAGACATAGTACAGGAGATGACCAGAGACTGCAGACATAGTACAGGAGATGACCAGAGGCTGCGGACATAGTATAGGAGATGGCGAGACTGCTGACATAGTACAGGAGATGACCAGAGACTGCAGACACAGTACAGTATGGCCAGAGACTGTGGACATAGTACAGGAGATGACCAGAAACTGTGGGCCTTTGGGGAGGTGGGTACCTGAATTTGACAGGTACTCGCTCCCACTTCCGAGGAGTTGTCCTCCCCCCTCCGTCCTCGTAGTCTTGTGGGACACATGACAGGTAGGATGGAGGAGCAGGTTCTTCTTCATAGTAGACCCAAGTGGCCAGCCCGGTATTCTAACACGGCGGCAGCGGGAATACCGGGCCGGCCACTCCATATATTCGCTCCGTAAGACGCACAGACATATTCCTCCATTTTTTTGGGGGAAAAAGTGCATCTTATGGAGTGAAAAATACGGTACATGGTGGAAAGAGAAATCCTATCATAATTATTTATTGAAATATGTATCCTATGCGTGGCATGTATCAGTTGAATGAGTTGTTGACTATAGATTGATTATTCCTATTGTAAGTGATCAAGCAGAAAAGGAAGCAATCATTTGTCAAATCATGTTTGGTCACCATTAGAGACCAGCAAAAAAAAAAAAATCTATGTTCTAACCCCTAAGTGTTAGGTACAAAAGTGAGATACAGTTGCAAGAAAAAGTATGTGAACCCCTTGGGATTCCGTGGAGTTTTGCATGAATTGGGCATAAAATGTGCTCTGAACGTCATCTAAGTCACAACAATAGAAGAACACAGTCTGCTGAACATAATACTACACAAACATTAGCTGTTGCCATGGTTTAATTGCACATAACATGTAAACATTCACAGTGCAGGGAGGAAAAAGTATGTGAACCTTTGGACTTAATAACTGGTTGACCCTCCTTTGGCAGCAATAACCTCAACCAAACGTTTCCTGTAGTTGCAGATCAGACCTGCACAACGATCTGGAGTCATTTTGGACCACTCCTCTTCACAAAACTGTTTCAGTGTAGCAATATTCTTGGGATGTCTGGTGTGAATCGCTCTCTTAAGGTCATGCCACAGCATTTCAATGGGGTTGAGGTCAGGACTCTGACTGGGCCACTCCAGAAGGCGTATTCTGTGCTGTTGCAGCCATTGTTTTGTTGAATTACTTGTATGCTTTGGGTCATTGTCCTGTTGCATCACCCATCCTCTGCGGAGCTTCAGTTGGCGGACAGATGGTACGTTTTCCTGCAAAATGTCTTGATAAACTCTGGAATTCATTTTCCCATCAATGACAACAATCTGTCCAGGCTCTGAGGCAGCAAAGCAGCCCCAAACCATGATGCTCCCCCCCGCCATGTTTCACAGTCGGGATGAGGTTTGGATGTTGGTGTGCTGTGCCTTTTTTTCTCCACACATAGTGTTGTGTGTTTTCCCAAACAACTCAATCTTGGTTTCATCTGTCCACAGTATATTCTGCCAGTAGTGCTGTGGAACATCCAGGTGCTCTTTTGCAAACTTCAAACGTGCTGCAATCTTCTTTTTGGGCAGCAATGGCTTCCTCCGTGGTGTCCTCCCATGTACTCCATTCTTGTTTCATGTTTTCCTTATTGTAGATGTGTCAACAAAAATGTTAGCATGTGCCAGAGATTTCTGTAGGTCTTTAGCTGACACTCTGGGATTCTTCTTTACCTCATGCAGCATTCTGCGCTGGGCTCTTGCAGTCATTTTTACAGGACGACCGCGCCTAGGGAGAGTAGCAACAGTGCTAAACTTTCTCCATTTGTAGACAGTCTGTCTTACCGTGGACACAGGAACATCAAGGCTTTTGGAGATACTTTTGTAACCCTTTCCAGCTTCATGCAAGTCAACAATTCTTGATGGTAGGTCTTCTGAGAGCTCTTTTCTGCAAGGCATGGTTCACATCAGACAGTGCTTCTTGAAACCAGTAAACCCAAAACAGGTGTCAGCAACACATCCAATATCATCACACTGATTGGAGTCAAGGTTGGCTCACTCCTGGCTCCAATTAGCTCTGGGAGAAGTCATTAAGCTAGGGACTCACATACTTTTTTTCCTCCCTGCACTGTGAATGTTTACATGTTATGTGCAATTAAACCATGGCAACATCTAATGTTTGTGTAGTATTATGTTCAGCAGACTGTGTTCTTCTATTGTTGTGACTTAGATGACGTTCAGAGCACATTTTATGCCCAATTCATGCAAAACTCCACGGAATCCCAAGGGGTTCACATACTTTTTCTTGCAACTGTAGCTGTTGCAGAATGGGGGTTTGGTTACCAGCAGTGTTATCTTTTATTTGTACCTTAGTGTTCTACTCTTTTACTGGGTTTGGCATCTTTTTTTAAAATCATCTCATCTACGCAGCACATGAGCTGGGCTAGCACCTACAGTAGGAGTTGTGCTTGGAGACTGGGAGTCTCTGTACCCTGAGCAGCAGTAAACAACTAGCAAAGCCTTACATAATAGTAAGAATGACATGAGGAAAATGTAGAAAAATTAGAATAAAAGTAATGTCACTGTAAAAATATAAACTTAATTTCCCTTAAAAGTTAGCTTCAGTGAGCAACTCATAAACTTCCATACACAATATTTTCATATTTGGAGAGTAATTGGTCACCACCACTGTTTCTCCCTCCAGCTATGGGGGACTGAGGGATGACAGCCTGCTGGGACTTGTAGTGCCCTAGACTCACAGAGGGCAGCATAGCGGACTGTCATTCCTTAGTCCCCTACAGAGGGCACTACAAGTCCCAACATAGCTCCATGCCATGCCTCAGTCCCCACAGAGAGCACTGCAAGTCCCAGTGTAGCAGGCTTCCATTCCTCAGTGAGGAATGCAGCCTGCTACACTGGTACTTACAGTGCCCTCTGTGGGGAATGAGGTATGGCAGCCTGCTATACTGGGACTTGTAGTGCCCTTTGTAGGGGGCTGTGGGATGAAAGCCTGCTATGCTGGGACTTGTAGTGCCCTAGACTGTGGGGACTGAGGAATGGAAGTGTAAGGGGGACTCTAGAAAATATTATGTAAAGGGGAGCTCTGGTGAACACAGGACTCCCCTTACATCAGAATACCCAGAGTTCCCCCTTACATTGTAAAGGGGAACTCTGCAGACTCTGATCTAACTATGATTTAAGAGGGAGATTGTAATGTAAAGAGGGATTCTGTGGACTCTGATGTAAGGGGAAATGCTGGCGATGTAAGGAGGGAATGCTGGGAAAAATCTGATTTAAAGGAGAACTCTGGTATAAGGGGGGACACAGTGGACTCAGATGTTAGGAGGAACTCTGGGAACTATGACCTACAGGGAAATGCTGGGAACTGTGATGTAAGGGGGGACTCTGATGTGAACAGAGGGTTCATCCTGACTGCTGCACTCTATATCCTGTTTTGTAGGTTAGTTACTCCTGACCCCCTGCAGTCTATAGATTATGTTGTACATTACCTAGTCCACAGGTTAGGGGGGCACCATTTACTTGCCTTTCCCCGTACACTGACAACCCACGGTATGTCACTGCCACTAAGTCTGTTATTTTTCATTTCCCCTTAACAAAACAAGCTGTGCAGAATTAGTGGCAATTAGAGGGCTGAAATTAGAGGTTTAACATTGACAGAGATGCTTACAACTATCAACTATTATACAATAATGTAAAGCTCTTATCCCAAGAGGCAAAAAAACTGTTGCTGCTTGAAAGCTGTTTGCTGGAGTTTAGCTATAGGCGTATTTACCACAAGGCAAACAAGGCATTTGCCTAGGGTGGCATTTTTAGGGGGGTAGCACTTCCCCCTGGAAGAAGGGACATATGCGGCATGGGAACCAGGTGGGATCTGAGAGAGGCTGTGGGCTGCTTGATGATGTATGCAGAGCCCGATTGTCATTCCTGGGGATGTATAGAGCTGTGAAGGTGCGTGTCTTTCTCTGCCGATGTCAGGCTCTCTCTGCCAGGGAGGTGGGGAGTGTCGGATTTTTGTGTTGCCTAGGGCAGCACAAAACCTAAATACACCACTGGTATTCTCATGTATCCAACACCGCCTTCTCCACAGGTTAACAATTCTACTGACCAAGGTAGGCTCCATTGCTCCTCCATGGACTGTAGACACCAAGATAGGTGTGTTACTGGATGGATCACCACATGAAAATAAAAGAAAAAAAGCCTTAAAAAGAACACTAATGCATCCATCAAATTTCGAGTTTGCTATATTGCAATATATTTATTTTTTTGCTTTTGGGTTTAGATATGCATTCAAGTTCAGCTCTGGTAAAGAAAAACTAATAAAGAACAAAACATTAGTGACATACACTCTGGCCACTTTATTAGGTAAACCTTGCTAGTAACGGGTTTGGCCCCATTTTGCCTTCAGAACTGATTTAATTCTTTGCGGCATAGATTCAATAAGGTGTTGGAAACATTCCTCAGAGATTTTGGTCCATATTGACATGACAGCATCACACAGTTGCTGCAGATATATCGTCGTGATACGAATCTCCCCGTTCCACCACATCCCAAACGTGCTCTGTTGGATTTAGATCTGGGGACTGTGGAGGTCATTGGAGTACAGTGAACTCATTGTCATGTTCAAGAAACCAGTTTGAGATAAATTGAACTTTGTGGCATGGTGCATTATCCTGCTGGAAGTAACTATCAGAAGATGGGTACACTGGCACCTAGTGTGGTCTTCTGCTGCTGTAGCCCATCTGCTTCAAGGTTCGGATATTGTGTTCAGAGATGGTATTCTACATGCTGTGGTTGTAATGAGTAGTTACTTGAGTTACTGTTGCCTTTCTATCATCTCAAACCAGTCTGCTCATTCCCTGACATTAACAATGCGTTTTTGTCCACATAACTGTTGCTCACTAGAAATATTTACTCTTTTTGAGACGATTCTCTATTAACCCTAGAGATGGTTGTGCGTGAAAATCCCAGTAGATCAGCAGTTTTTGAAATACTCAGACCAGTCCATCTGGCACCAACAACCATGTCACGTTCAAAGTCACTTAAATCCCCTTTCTTCTCCATTCTGATGCTCAGTTTGAACTTCAGCAAGTTGTCTTTACCACGTCTAGATCCCTAAATGCATTGAGTT